AGAGTGCATGTGCATCATGTGCGCAGAGATCTTTGTAGGGTTGTGGCACCCTGGTAGCTCAGCTGCTCTGCAACGGAGCTCCTGTATGAACTTCCGCTCAGACAAGAATCTTCTAAATAACTTCGTAGCCGCGCCAGGCCTGTCGAAAAGAGGACGGGGGTCTGGAACTGCAGCGTCAACAAACGCCCGATTCCTGAGTGAAACCGTGTAGGACACAGGCTGCTCTGTGAAGGCGATCACTGAAGCTGGCACTCCCCGTTGGGCTTGATGCAGCGTACCTGAAAAATTCGAGAGCGGTCTCGCAGAATCGCATCATGAGGGGCTGCAGACTGTGAGGGCACGAAGTGCGGCGTAGTTGTCCGGATCTGCCCCATCAGCTCCTGCGTGGAACCCTCATGCCAAGCCAATAGCAGCAAGAGCGGGGTCACCCGTCCTGCAGCTGCTGCCGAAATTCCGATGAGACCGTGGAGCGATGTGCCCGCACCTTTCAAGTAATAGAGTCAGTCAGTGTAGCTGTAGCTAGTGTGCGCTGCCATTCGTGGCGGAGGCGGCCTTCGGGCTGCTCGACGAGAGCGGAGATCCACGAATCGAGGGCGAGCCTGGGAACTGGGACGGGAGGATCAGCTGGGGTGGGGCGGGTGGGGATCTGCGCAACGCGGCAGAATGAGTTCGGAACGAGACACGGAGTTCTCGGCGCTATCTTTGAAACAGTTCCGCAGAAAGGGCCAATCCTTGCTGATCGAAGGAGCGAAAAAAAGAGTGCTGCCTCCCACCACTCGGCTTCCAACGCTGCCAGCCAGACACCGGACAAGGTCCTGTGAAAGCCGGTCCTGACCAAGATCAGAGTGGCTCACTTCGGTTGGGCAGGAAGCTGCTTCTCAGAGAGCGACGCGGTTCTTCTCGAGAAATCCATCCACCTTGATCCACACCCCCGTCTCAAAGCATCCGTGCCAATCAGCGCACAGTAAGTTTGGGACTGTGTAGGTTACCGGACCGGCAAAGTGCTTCACCTGACTGGGTGTGGACTGTCTGGTGGAAAGCCTCCTACATCCACTCCGAGCCCTGGACAATGAAGGTGGAGTTTTGCAGCTTCACCACGCCGAAAGAAGGATGGTTCTGATGCCTCGAAGACACAGGTTGACTGCGTCGCTTTCCTCAAAGAGCGCAAGTGCCAGGGTTCCGGACGTCTGTATCAGCTTCCTGTGCCAGCTTCCAGAGGTGCCGCCGATCACGAAGCACTCCTCGCTCCCAGGTTCATCACGGCAAATGCCCCCACGCGCTTCTCTAACGACTCGCTTCTCCAAAAATCCTGAAAATGCTGCGTTCCGCTTAAACCCTCAAGGCTCAAGACGGATGAGGTGCTACGACGAGCTATCCTACAACTGGGTGGATCCAGTCCTCGTCAAGCATGGGGAAGATCCCTGATGGCGAGGACCTCACAACGCGTGACACCGTCATCCTTAACGTCTCAGAAGCCTACAGAAGCTCAGCTGTTCGGTGGATCATGGGAGATCTACTTCTCACTCTGTCGTGCAGGGCCAACTACAAGCAGTCCCGGGCTTCTGCTGCCGATGGGGGGGCCAGGTGTATGCGCAGTTGCGAAATTCACAACACACAGGAGATCACAATGAAAACCTCACCAAATCACCAGACTACCACAGGCATCTTTCCGTTTTCCCGAAAGGGCGTCTTTGTTCTACGGTTGACCGCGTCTTTCGTTTCCTATGTAGAGCACGTCTTTTCCAGCAAGGTCTGGGCAAGTACTTCTTGATTAGGTCTTCTGGCCTGGAGGTATCTTGGGCAACCTTCTTGGTTTTTGGTGTTGACGGCGTCTCTCATTATCCTGTTGCGCTTGGGTTTACGGTCTAGGGCCTCAGAGATTTCGAGTTTTAAGGCTTGTGGAGACTGGGCGAAGGGCAGCAGAGGGAGGACTGAAGGCTTGAGGCCCCGGCTGCAAGAGCTTCACTATGCCGGCGTTGTCCGGGAAGTCCTCATCCTGCCAAGGCCTCAAGGGCTCGGGAAACTGTGGGGGTGTAGGGGTTTAGGGCTCTGCAAGAGGTGCTACTAGAGGGGCTGCTATAAGGGTACCGGTAGGGATTACTGTGGGGCTTTCTCCTTCTGCAAGCCTCAGAACTCATGTCTTGGGCCGGCAGGTGGAATGGGGCAAATGCGACTGAGGATTCGACACGCCCTCCTCTTGGTAAAGAATGGTCTCATTCTCAAAGATGAAGTTGTTGAAGTACTGCTGCAGCAACTCGTTGGTGAAGTTAATGCACAGCCTGAGTCATAATATCGCAGATGAATCCAGGCTCAGAGGCTTCTTCCTTTCGGTTCCTCTGCTCGCTCTCTCTCTCTTGCTCTCCGAGATCCTCGCTGCTCGAAAGAGTTGACCTTGAAGAACTCGAAGCCAAAGATGTCCAGCCTCTGCAGAGAAAACGGGCACCTAAAGCCGAAAGGCCGGTCGGTCTCGAGCCATCGGGCTCTTAGGCTGCGGCACTCCACAGAAAGTGGCCTCTGGCTTGAATCCAATGGAGGCATTCGTCTTCTCCACGATGTGCTTGAAGAGCGCATGATAGAGATATCTTCCGAGGGCATCTCTGCACTCGCCTGCCTCTTCAGGGTGCACGGTAGAGGATGCATGGTAGGGTCATCTCATAGACTTAGCTTATATAGGCTATATAGGGTTACAGTCAACTACCGCCAGTTATGCAGCACTTCAGGGTGCAAAGTGCCGGGGTTTAGACTCCAGGAATCGAATTTCGCTTCTCTGCCAGTGCCTGCTTTGTGGTGTTTCCCATCCGGATGACCTGCTCGCCTGGTGCTTGCATCGTCCGGTAGCAGAGGACTTCGGACAGCTGGGCACCCGATAGACCCAGGAGCTCGGAGGCTTCATCCAAGGGAGCTTTCAGATCATCCGACGCTCCTTCTCCGGCCGAGGGAAGCACTTCGGATGCCTCGCTGTTCCTTTGTTCGACGGGAGACGGATGACTCAACTGGGACGCAGGACAAGGCATAACCTCAGAAAAAAGCCCTTCAACTAAGTGTAACGGTGTAACGTTTGCCTCTACAGGAGCAGGCTTCTTCGCAGGCACAGCGAACTCAATGTTTCCAACGTGTAACACTGCAAGAACAGCCCGGAGCACGTCCGCGATTTCGTGAGCATGGAAACCCATAGTTTGCATCGCAGCGAGCGTTGCCTGAAAGTCCCCGGTGTCATCCAGAAGCTCGGAACATCTCGAGTTACCAAGATTCTTGAAGCAGGAGATACCCTCAATCTTCCCAAGGTGCTCCGTCACCATGGAGTCGAGCTCAGGCAAGTGTGCCGATGCGGCCAGGGCTTGGTAGAAAATGTGAAAGCTCCTCTCGCCGGGCTGATGGTCGATGACACGAACCGTCTCAAGGAGGTAAGTGCGAATCCTCGTTCCAACAAGTCGCTTCTTCGATCCCGTCAGCCCCTCTTCAAAGCCGAATTGCAGCTCGATGTACTTGCCGAACCTCGATGAATTGTGATTTCTGAGGGTCTGCGCATTCCCGAAGGCTTCAAGCAATGGGTTTGACCTGAGCACCTGTCGCTCCACTCGCGACAGCGGCTTCTCGCCCTCACTCACCACCGCCTCGGCTCCGGTCAATGCCAGAAAGTGCATCACAAACTTCGTCGTCTCCGTCTTTCCAGCACCACTCTCTCCACTGACCAGGACAGTCTGAGACTCGTCGTGATCGAGAATGCCTGCCACATATCGGGGGTTTCGGGGGGCCTTGACTTAGCAGGCTCTGCTTGTCTAGAGGCTTGCGACAGTTGGGGAGAAGCCGTTCGTGAGCTGCGAGCCTTGATAGGCCCGATTGGCAATGCTGAAGATGTGGGGCTGAAGCTTCTCGGCCGAGACAAAGCTGCGAAGCATCTCCGGCGAATACAGGCCAGGCATGTGTCGAAATGGATTGACCGCCAGAAGCACGGGACCCGTCAAAGTGTAAATGCGCCCTCGCTGAAACCGGTCCGCGATTGCCTGCAGAAGTGCAGCCTCGTGTAGCTCTGGCACATTTGTCAAGTCATCGTACTGGAGAGCTGCAGCGTCGACGATGGTTGTATCCCGCCGCAGCAGTCTCACCTTGCTACCTGTATGCGGTACCTCGAGGTCCTCTAGGTCATCTTCGGGTGAATCAGCCGAATCCAGCTTCACAACCACATGGCTGCTCGTGCTTTGAGTGACCTCGCCCGCTGTCCATACCTGGGACGGGTCAGACACCCACACGGCCGCACCTATTTCAAGACCACGGCCACCAGACTCCTCCACTTTGGAAGGGACCCTCGTGGAGCCGTTGCGCGTATTGGGAGGAGCGGGACCCGCGCCATTCGGCGAAGCAGCTTTTGGCTCTTTCCGTGGCAGAGGCGGAACCGGGCGCAGCATGGCCACAGATCACAGGCCCAACGCTACCCGGGGCCCGGCCGGGCCCCTGGCAGCGGGCGCAGGAGACTCGCGGAGGAAGGCCGCGGAGTTCATGGCAAGCGCGCCACAGAAAAGGAAAGAGAAGCCGAGGCTGTGGAGACTGTGGAGGGTGGGAGCTGCGAGGCCCAAAAGAACACCCGAAACGTACTCTCACCAACTTGTCCAAGGAGCTCTATAGATGAAGCTAAATCCGAAGAAGCCCTATCAGAAAGTTCTAATGCATACAGGCAATGAGAAATCCTGGTCCTGGTTGCACCACCGGGAGCAGCGCGCTTCTGGGGTGCTTTTGCTTGAGCAGAGCCCCATCCCGTCTGCAGCTGATGCAAACTGGCACAAACAACTCTTCTGCAGCTTTGGACTGACCACGGTGCAAAGAGCCGACGTTGTTTTGGTGTGAGTGGCAGTTTGGATAGCCCAAGCATCAACTCCACTTCACATCGTGTGCAATAAGCCCGGCTCAACTCACAACACGACAGAGTACTAGCTGCAGCGTACATTCACCAAAGCTCTCGACTCCTTGCTTGCGTGTTGCTTTGTTGGACGCACGAGCCACACTCAGATCAGCCGGTTTCGCATATCCTGGCGCGAGCCATCAGACACAGTCTCTCTTGCCAAGACAACAAGACGACAAGGTTGTTCTCGGTGCCTCCAACTTCTTGATAATCTCTGCTGGCGTGCGGTCCAACTCACTTGCAATTAGCCTTTGCCTCAGATTTTGCGTGGACCATCTGATCCGGCTTCGGTTTACGAAAGAACGGTGTCCGAGGAAGGTGCTTCTCGGCGGTGAGGGTCATGAACTGCTCACAGAGGTCGCCGTCAACGCCTCATCATGAGGGCCGAGGGTCAGACAGGTGGCCCCCCGTGAGACGGTGAGAACTTGGGGCCAGACAGCTCTGCACCGGGAAGTGGTAGGATCGGTACCTTGCACCGTGTACCCAGAGAGCCATCTCACACTCTTCAGAGCCTGGCAATGCGCTGGGGGACATTATGTGATCCCTGCCACACAACGGAGGCTTCTCCGCCCGCACGAACATTTCCAAGTGCTGGAAGAAGTCCAACTGGCATTGTTCAGATCAACTTGCCGCGGTGACAGCCTTGTCACTAGCAGCAGAATTTTGGAGGGCCTCATCCTTCCCTGCGAAAGGATAGAAGGCTCCAATAGCGCCTGGAACGCAAAGTGTGGCACCGGATGCGCCATCACGGGGCACGCAGCATCCTGCCTAAGAGGGTGGAGTAGCAGATCAGCTCGCTTCCTCCCTGTGCCAAGGTCGTCTTCTCCAGCGCCGTGACCGTGTCACCTGAACCGCCCAGGTTCGGAGGCTCAGAGGCCATTGCTTCAGAGGCGAAAGAGCGTCCCACCAACATGGAACTGCACGATGCTATCCAGCTTCGGCGTGGCACCGGTGAGGTAGGCAGTGTCGGCCTGCCAGCTCCGGCTCTCTCATTCCGCATCCACCTGCCTGAAGCCTCCTAGCAGAAAGCCTTCAACCGCAGGCCGGTGTGATCACCACCTGACTGCCAACACAGCACTCGCTTCGGCACGCTTCCGGATCGAGTCAGAATGCACGTTTGGTGCACAAGCGCATCGAGTGCCTTCATCGTCGCGGGCCTGAGAGCTGCCGAAAGGAAAGATGCTCTCTCAAGCTAGAACTCTAGGTGGGGCATGAGGGCAAGCCTCGTCTGGTATTCTGCTAATGAAGAAGTTGTCAAACTTGTCCGCACCTGCACGACGTACCCGATGTGCAGACTGATGCCACAAGCCTGTCACCAAGCCTGCCATGGTCATGCTGTCCAGGACGGTCGCACAAGTCCTCAAAAGCTCCACAACGCAGACACCGCGGAAGCTGGACGATCCACGGCACTGGCGTGGAAAGGCATTCAATATCCTTCAACCCTCCCTGTACAGGATCCATGCTCCGCCTGGTTCTATGCAGTGCTCGGGCGCAAGCCCATGTACCGGACAAAACCTAGCTTTATGTATGAGTATGCCACAACGTTTTGTCCCGAACACCGGCCCCATGAAAACACGGCCAGGCCCGACGTTGAAATGCAGTGAGACTGTCATGGACTGTCTGTGCGGGTCGCACTGGGGTGCTGCTGCGGCCGTTAGTCTCTCTTTGAAAGCTCTCGCACTGAGACTCGGGCGTCCATCTTGGAGCTTGATCATCCGAAAGCACGAAAAGCTGATTGTCGGAACGACGATACCTCTTGGGTGTATCTACGGACCATTCAAGAGTTCTGTGAAATGCATGATGATGTGGGCCGCTGCGAACCCGTTATCATGAAGCCATCAACTGAAAACGCCAAGGCCAAGGTGATTCCCTGCAGGGCACTTGAAGATGTGGAAGGACTCGCGAAGGTCGGCTGTGAAAATCTTGTCACCCTTCACGTGCCTTGCCATCATGACAAAGGGTGAACCTCCAGAGGCCCTCCCTCAAAATCAGGACGCCGACATCCACATCAGGCCCTCGGGGATGTTCTTGTACTCGCACTTCCGCAACCTCTGCATGTCATGATGGCAGGAACCTCAAACTCCCGGAATCTCCAAAAGAGGAGAGGACAGCTTTCGCTTGCCGAGCTCGTAGATGCGCAGGTTCTTGCCAACGCTGGCCAGCAGCCGGCCTCCAAGACTCAGAGCCAGGGCTCGGCCTCCGCTCCTCCCTGGGGGCCCATCCTTTGAAGGGGTTTGGTTTAGGGGATCTAGAGTAGGTTTCTATGACATAAGGGCCTTAATGATTTGGAATAGGGGGGGGTCCCTGCCGATCCCTGCCTTCGAAGGGGAAGAGGCAGAGCGGGACATCCTTGGGCACTTGTCACTTGTATCGCGACCCGAGGATCCAAGCATGTGACAGGTTTGTGCTCTCGGCTGAGACATGGACATCAAGCGGCGTAGAGTGAATGAGCTGCAAATGGTATCTCCTCGCAAGATCGCAACAGCATATTGTGATGAAAAGTGGTCTGAATCTGGGACGCCAACTCGTCGTACATGTACGTCTTGATGGTCGCTTTGGGTGCATGTCTCGGGTACAACCTGGCCATGACCGGCCGTGTCAGGTACTGCTGAGAGCGTCATGAGTCATGAGACATGGCAGGCGTGGCGTCATGTTGTAAACGGTGCCGACGACGAGACAAGGCCTCAGAGCAAGCGGCGTTTCGCACTGCAAAACAAAGCCTAACTTGCGAAATTCCTTAGGGAGCCACTGGTTTGCAAGCTGGGAGAAGTAGCAAACTGTCAGGCACAGCGCAGCCTGAGGTAGATGCGCACGACTCAGACATCCCTCGGAAACAACATCATTCGACAATTCGTCAGCCTCATCGATGTCCAAGTCCAGCTTGAAAACAGGGAGCAAGTTTGACGGATTCACCTCACCAGCTAGCATCTCTCACCTTCACAATGACATCTTGCCTTTGCAATGTCTCAGGCTCGAGCGATACGCACACAGGATCCCCACTTCCCTTCGCCAGCTTTGAAGGTTCCGACCTGCGTGCTCCCAGTCTGACACATGTAGAAACAGCAAAGGTCTTTGCACAGAGCAACTGCACTCCAAACGAAAGGCGTGATGACTGTATGTGTCAAGATTCCGTCTCAGTGAATGGGAGCGGCGTCGATAAACTTGTGCTTTAAGTATTGCCCGTCGAGTTCCCCTCTGCTGTCGCATCCCTTCGTGTCAGCGACACCGGCTCGAAAGATCTCTTGGGTCGTCCATGGAACCAAGGGCACAGGTCGGAACACATCACGGTGCGCTCGGTTATCTGAGGTCAATGCACACTAAGGTCAACAGCGAAGCACTACACTCAGCCTGAACCTGATGCCTCCAAGGGATGCAATACTAGTTTCATACAGTTCATATGTGAGCCTGTCCTGCCTCTGGACTGCAGGCGATTTTCCGAGGACATGTTAAAGACGCACGTGCCGCGAGGAGAAATGGGGACATCGAGAGTTGGACCTGGGGCTTTTGGGGAGTCGTGCAGTTATTCCTGTGTGTTTAAAAAGCTTGTGCGGCATACATTTTTTTACGCCCGTTCTAATGAGCATTGCTCTAGCAGTGACCACCTCTTGACCATCGCACAGGACAACCATTCAATGACAGGATGCTTATCAGAATCACTGCAGATCTGCACGGTCCGGGCCATGTTTCTCAACGCGTACCCGTTTCCCTTGATTTTCGCTCGCGTCGAACCAAGAAGCCTTGGCTTTGCCCTGGAGCTCTCATAGCAATGCCAAGCCGGGAGTGGGAGGATGCTTAACCACGGCTGCCGGGAGCGAAGCTCTGGAGCTTTCCAGCTTCGGAGGGTTGCGGAGACAATGCAAGCCCTGGGCTGTCATTGGCCGAATGTCCAAGGTCTCAGATCCGGGTGCGCATGCAGTACACCGAAAGCACATCAGCAGGACCACAGACCCACCAAAATCATTCAAAGGTAGCATCATGTAGCAACCCTTTTCGTATCGGCACTGAAATCGAACAGCTTAGCCCCCGTACCATGCCAACTTGTGCCCTGAATTCAACACCTCCCACAAAGCATTCCGCCCCGCCCAGCGTCCGTCTGTAGCTGTGAAACTTACATCTCGGCCGTGATGAGAACGAAAGGCGGAGCTTTCATTGAACTCTCTGCCGGACTCCGCAGGTTTGGTTCTGCGGGGAGATTCGGTAGCACGACAGCGGCTGGATCAGCAGCTATGACACAACGTCAGAGTACGCCTTTGATGCATTGTACCACGACAGAGACCTCCTCAAGCGAGTAGGGAAAGTCAGGCATTGGACGCATCGGTGCGACATCGGAACTTTCGAAACCAACCTCTACCCGTGGCTCGGCCCCCGTGGCGTCCAGCAGCAATCGTTCGAAAGCAGGTCGCTGGTCCGCTTTGTTCCAGAGAGTCGAACCTTCTGTGCAGAACGCTCGGGTCGCCTGCTGTTCGGGGAGATCCTCCTCGTCATCCTCGTCCTTGACATCGTCCAGCTCGTCATCGACTGTCTTGGTCAGGCCTCATGAGCAGCTTGCTTTCAACTTCTCACCTCCGTTACACGTGTTTCGGTGCCGCACGAATCTTCTTCAGCGCGGCCCGGATCTCACGCTTCGTCTCCTGACCCGTTTGTTGTGAAAACGGGGTGGAGGAAGGTCGGCTCGGATCTGGCACCTCGTTGTATGCGTTGTGATCCGCCTCCAGAATGGCCAACCTACAGGAAGAGATGCGGCTTCACGACGGCTTCCTCCGTCGGACAAAGCTTGGCTCCGGTCATGATCGGATCCGTGGTCGGCTGGCCAGGCGGCGGCAGAACCGCGGGAGGGAGCGGCACAAAGCGCCGAGGAGTGTAGGACAAGTTCATGACCTGGCGTATATGTGTCCAATGGAGGACGTCATGCTTTTCAAGCCAACCGAGCTCAGGGCCGTCTGGTTGAACAGCTCTCCCAATCTCTCGCACGCGAGAATGCCTTCGATGATCTTTCGTCGAGGGTAGGCTCACGAAGCCGCCGAGCTCAGAACAAGCAGCCTGACATCTGGGCTCTCGACGCAACGTGTTGCCGGAGATCGCCACAAAACCTATCCGGCCGAGCATAGACACGTCCACGTTTGCAGCAAAGCCATGCATCGCGCACCTTCCGGGCACTGTTCGGATGCGAATGACGAGGCGAACTCCAACTGCTCGTAGCTCATCGGAGTACCTCAAACCAGTTGAGGCTAGGAAGCTAACACGAAGGGGATTTTCTGAGCCAAGGACAGTGATTTTTGCCCTGGAAGTTGTACGAGAGCCAAGGCTTCGTGCTTAAAGCAAGCATTGACGGCCTGGAGGCTGTCAATATTTCATGGCCTCACCGAAAAACCCTGCTGAGCTCCCCGCATTCCCTGGACGGAGACCTCTCAACTTCACAAAGCATTGCCCCATATGGTTCTGTCCCATGATGCAGTGAGCATGACGAGCTGAAGCCTTGTGAAGTCGCACCGCTTTGGCGCCCAGAAATCGGGAGCGCTGATCACTCAACGTACCCGTGACCTCTCAAGAGGCCGTGGAAGATGTTGCGGACTCGTTTCGCACAGGAGCCTTTAGGTATTTTTAGGTATCCTCAGATCCTGGCAAAGTCGACCACCGAGCGGATAAGGATGCCGCTGCCTCGTGCCGCAACGTCTGTGCAGAATCGAGTAGCTGCATGGCCGGCAATCGTTTAGTCGGGCTGGGGACGCGGCTCAAACCAATACTCAGGAACAGGCTGTGGACATCCTACAGAGGGAGAGAGAAAGATGAACACAGTCGCGATGCAGACTACAGACATGGGACAACTCGAACAGCACGAAGAACCCGGCAAGCAAGCCTCTGCCTGTCCCAGGTTCTTCATTTCCAGGAGGCAAACGCTTTCCGCAGGTGACTGCAGGGCCTCAGATGCTTCCAGCGACGGCACTGCATCAGTGCCGCTATCAGGCTCAGATCAGCCGGTGCTGTGCTTCCTAGAGGATTCTTAGTTTCGCTGCAAGTCGCAATGCATGCGCTCAAACCATCTGGAGACCATACTCCGGAGAGACGGGAAGAGACAGTCGTGCCGAACACTGGAAAAAGGAGCCTCTTGGAGAATCAAGACTAATACTCATCCTGGTACTTATACCTGTCGTAATACGAACCTGAGTACTCAGGTTAATACCAAAATAAGTACATACGTTATCTTAGTACTTTAGTCGCAACCCTAACCTGAATGCAAGCCTTACTGCCAGACTTAATACTAAGACTATTTTGCGTCTGAATACCTGACCTTTCCCAACACAAAAACCTTCAGACATCTTAAGAAATGGGAGTTTCCGAAAAATATGGGATCCTAATATAGTACCCTAAATAGTAGGACCCTTATTATAAGGACCACAAAATAAGGTACCCCGAATTTTCGAAAACTCCCATAAACGCTTCCGATGTGAAAACCACAGGCCCGGGCCTGGGCACTCAGCTGCTTCAGCGGCCTCTCTCGCTCCAGAGAAAGGATTCGGATGGTGTTGTCCACACCTGCAACACAGCATAGGTACTTGGTAGTAGTGTTTTTGTCGCTGTTTTTGCCATCAGTCGGGATAGCTAACAGTAGGAAGAAGAACAAGAACAATGACAACGAAAAACACCAATGCTACTAATAGCAATACTTATCATAGCAACAATGATAAGTATAGATAAGATCCGCACATGCAACACGTGGTTTTTGTATATGTAGAAAATCACCACGACGAGTCCGAGTGAAAGGGTTGAAGATCACCTTTTTCGCATGGACTGTGATGGATTTCCTTCACCGATCTTCGGCAGGTCAATAAAAGCACCACACTGCGCATTAACTGTGCTTCAGCATCCAGCTGTTCTGGATTTACAGGAGGTTATGTGCGTCCCCTGAAGCTAAACATTCCGAGTTTTTCCCGGAGCTTGAACAAGGTCTTGTCGCCCGCGTTGGAAAGATGAATGTCCTGAGCGGCGCGTCGTGTGCGACGGCAAGGAGGTCAAAGGGACGGCACTAAGCTTCATGGAGTGCCAGGCGTGCTGGGGCCTCCGAAGATCTGCAACCGGGGATGGCTCGTAGACCCGGTTCCGCAGCCGAGAGTCGCTCGAAACAAATCCACTTGGCTCCTTGCTGGGCCTCGCATCCTGACCCCACCTGATCAGCAAGACCGATCTGAAGCCATCGGTACGCTGTTGTTTTCTACTATGTCTGCTATTACGATGGTATACGATTACGATTTACTATGGCATACCATGTCATAGTTTGGTATATTCTGCTCTGTTGTACCATATTATTGTACTGTACTGTAGAGTTATAATGATGCTTGTCAACTAATACGAGGCTACATGCTAAATGCAAGGACTGCAGAATGTTCGTGACCCGCGGGGGCCTCCATGGATGAACCACCTGGAAGTTTCGACCCGCCCTTCTTTTGACGACACCTCGTCGGACGGAGAGTCACTGCACTTCGGAGTGTCGGGGAACCGAGCCTCTGCTAAAGTCACCTCGGTGTGCAAGCTCCTGCATGCAGGTTGACAAGACTAAAGCGGGACAGGCTTTGAATCGCATCCCCCCGCCTCCGACTCGGCATGGTTGGGAAGCCGCGGGACTACTACCAAGGTGATCTGATCACCGTCCGCCACACCAATCTCCTTCGTAGCGGATTTTCATGGCAGAATGTGGAGAACTTGATTTGTGACTCGGGCTCCACGTCTCCTTCAAAGTGGCGCCGGCTCTGCAAAGGTGCTTGTCATGAACCCTTGGCTCAGAGAGTCCAGTGGACACATGGGAGACTTCAGTGGCGATGTGACTACTCTGCTCCGAGCCACAGCCTCTGGAGAGAGGGCGGAATGCCTGTGATGGACTCGATCATCCCTTTCAGTGAGGTCTGTGATCTGCCCCGCCGTTGCCTGAACAGCACAGAAGACACTCACTTCAACTGAGAACGAACGCATGCAGATATCCCCCCATGCCATGCCATCGCCTAAACAACTCTGAACATTGCAGTCCTAGTTGCCAGGCTGGCTCAAAGCTTCCCCCCTTCGCTGCGCTCGCCGCGCTCGCTGCGCTGGCTGCGCTGGCTTCGGGAAGGAGCCGCTGAAGCGCCAGGCTGGCCCTGGTGGCCCGGCTGGCGCCAGGCTTCCGAGTTCGCGAAAGCTCCACGGACCTTTTGTGCGAGAACTGAGGAGACGTGATATCTTTTCCTCCACCCGGAGCAAGGGGCAACAGGAGCCGAGAACAAGCAATTGAATCTGCACAACACCCTGTCGCCCTTACATGCTGACGTTTTAGAAAAGCTGAAGACCACAAGCGGACAAACGGACTAAGCTTGAGCTTTCAGCAACTCTTCGTGCCCTGGATCGGCTGGCTGCGGGTCGATCGGCAGGTCCAGCGGCACATGCAAAGCAATCGTTTCGCCGGTTCCGACCCATGCCACCCGAATGCCTTGGGCAAAACAGCAAACGCCAACCGTTCTCAACAACCTAGTTCTGTCTCATGTCAAAGCGTGTGTGGCTTCAAAGCCAGGCAGCCGACAACACGCGGCTTTGGCACAGGCTTGCGCACTTGCTCGACAGACGGCATACTCAGCAGCTCCGCCCCAGTCATCGAGAGAGCCGATGAGTGCCTCACTTCCGTGTCTTGGATAAGTCTCAGTATCGCATCGTCCGAGACCTTCCAAGGTTTGGATGCGGCCTTTGAGTCTTCTTCTGTCTCCTTGGTCGCCTCATGACCTGCCTCGGCGGGCTCGGCCGGTTCCTGACTCGGGGAATGAAGTGCGAGTGCAGGCGGAGCCTCTGTGGGTTCTTCTCTCGATCGGCGTCGGAACTCTCGGGTGCGTCCCTGCCGAATGAGTTCGGCGATCTTCTCGTCGGGTACATGCCACCACTTCGGGTCCGAGTCGTTTGCGGCCACGTCGTCGTAGCCTTCCCAGCCATCTGTCTCCAGAAACCTCTCCTCCCATGGAACCCTGGATCCAGCAGTCGGTTGCGGCAAGATGCTTTCCAACTTCTGACCATCGCCGCGTTGGTGCAAGCGGAGTGGCATGGGCAACACAGCAAATCGCCTCGCCTTACTGTCGGGAAGCTTTAACTTCCTCAGCTTGCTCAACTTACTTGAGTCTTTGCAGCCTCTGTAGCCAGGTGTGGCGATGATGCAGGCAGCATGTCGAGAGACTATCATCCGAGCCATAACGTGTTTGCAAGGTTCAAGGAGCAAAACACAACTTCCAGCGCTATGCGAACGTGACCCACCTCCCACGGCCATGAAGGACGCTCGCTGCCGGTTCTCTGGGACTGGCTGCACCTCGCGGCTTGCGATTCCAAGTAGGGGCAAGCGCAGCGAGACCGCAGCAGACCGGGACTGCCGGGACTGCCGGGACTCCTGCCGCAATACACAAGACCTCGTAGTTCATGTCACGCTTCGCCACCTGGCACACATGTGATGTGCAAGATTCAAAGGCGACAGCGAAATTCCGCCTCGTTCAGAGTGTGGCTCTCATCAATCTCGAAATAAAGAATCTCTCCGCCAGACAAGGCAATGACAACCTGTCCGGTATTTCTGCATCACCACGGCTCAATTCACAACTTGGGAACATATTCAAACTTGTGGAGCCTGTCGTTCGTTCGCAGCCGCTGTTACAATTCGCTTCTGTCCAGGCACCCTCCACCTTATCACGGCACGGTTGCGAGGCGTGCTGCGGCCATAACGTGGAATTGCTAGGCTGTGGCTCATTCGTTCTCCGCGGAAGCAAGTGGCGGATGCCCGTCGGGTGCACCTCGCTACATGACACAGGCATCCAGTGCAAAAGTCCGACATGAGTTCGTAAGCATGGCCTGTACGTAAGAGTCATCTGCCATCAGCTGGATGAGCAAGGAAGGTGCAGTGGCCAAGAATCCACTGTCCAGCACCTACAGTGACAAGGTCTTAACCGTTACCGTCCCTGCACAGCCGATAGAACCGAACACATCACTCGAGACCAAGCATCACGACACAAATGTCTTCCGCATGCTCTGTGGGACCGCCTCCTCAACTGTGTCGCCGATGGAAAGCACGAGAGTGACGTCTACGAAAGATACTACAATGTAGCGGTCGTACTCGCTGTCCATGGTGGCCTGAAACACACTGATTATGCAGCGACTGTAATCTCTCACGACGACTGAGCGGTCTACCCAACACTACTTGCCGCGGCACCTTCACCGTCCATACTGCATTGGGCTTTCCTGGCAGTTCGCTGACAGCCATCTCCGTCACAGCCAATCCGTGTCGAAGAACTCGCAAGGAGGCTCGTGGACCGCGACCACACATTGCATACAGCTGTGGCTTTCCTTCACCTGTGGCATCCAGAACCTTCATGTCGATGATCGGAGACAACGACGGCATCTCGTCGTAAAGCATGAGGTTCTTGAGCGCTCGAGGCTTGAATGCCACCAGGGCCTGCGCTCCGTGGGGATGGGAGGATGTGCACATGGGATCCTCTTCATCCGTTCCGATGCCCTGGAACTGATACAGCGCGTGATTGCCAAACTCTGCCGCAGCAAAAAGGAAGCCAGTCTTGAGAACGCAGAGAGCGTTCGAAAGCGGCACGGTGTCAAAGTACTTGACCTGAACCTCCGACACGAGGTCCTCGTCGTGAGTCAGAGTCACCTTGTACAAGTCCCCGTACTCACTTTGGATGAGGAAAAAGAAGAAGTCCTTCAGCTTATGTGTCGCATGTGCCACGATGAGCAGACCTTTCTCCTGGGCCATTTCAAGACGTCTGGGAATCGCGCAGACGACGTCCGGGTGGCCCTGCTTCTTGTAGACGAGGCAGTTCTCACAACAGACCAGGACCCCACTCGGCCCATCGACACCCCCCGGGACCGCGATCAAGGCATGAGCACTATGGTCCACTGCATCTGCGAACTTTCGAGTCACGTGGTTTAGGCCCAGGTCCATCTCGTAGAGTGTCAACATCTTCTGTGGGGGCTCTGCTTGCGGATCCTTGTCCACCTGCCAAAGAGCAACACATGGCTTCAACACGTCCACCCGCTTCTGTTCCCTGCCTCCTCGTAGCTGAGTTCTATGCTGGCGAAAAGAGGGTTCTCAAATCCCACATCCATGCCAACCATTGCATAGACCAACGTGTAACCTTGGTCTGCGGCTGTCAGTGTCGAGGACCAAACGCATTCATAGCTAAGCCCGCTGCTCTTGTGTGCTTCAAGCGGCGACGATATTGTCAATCGCGCTGCAGAGTCCCTGTTCAGAATGTAGACCTGGGAGGAGAGAAATGACGGGTTGGTGCTGCATCGGATTCAGGAACAAGCTACAAGCAGCTCAGTCGAGCCAAGGCATGGGCAAACTTTTGCTTCTCAATCGCGCCGATCATCACGGCTCCTTAGTCGCACACACAGAGGCCTGCAACGTGCCTTCTCCCATGTGTTCGTTTTAGGGCATGACGACCCTTGGGGTCAACTGCGAGATATTGACCCGGCCTTGGCCACTGCAAGGCTGTGGAAAGTCTAGCATGAAGGGTGCAACTCTCAGGTTGGGACACGATTCTCCGGCAACCGGTTTTGCCGAAGGTCTCTTGATGCACTTTCTCGAACCTAGTCTCGCCGTGTCACAGCATAGCTCTGGGAGGTCTAGAAAGGCCGAGACATGTTTTTTGTACCATCGTACTCCAGGATGACTATTCTGCCCGAGTCCGAAGCCACAACCTGCAATGTCGGCGATCAGAAAAACATGCTCGCGAGATGGAATGAAAACGTGCCGGGAAGGCTATGTAATCCCGACTTGCTCCAGTTAGTCTGAAAGGGTGCAGTGCTCGGATGACACCGAAAATCTCCTGCAAATCCAACACCCAGCAGTGCGGCGCCCCTTCTTGCTTCTTGGGAAAAGCCCCCCTCTCCACACACATCGACACACTCAGCGTCGCTCCACGGAGAGGATACTCTGCACTTTTCCGGAATCGTCGGGCCTAGGGAAGAAGGAAGTAGCTTTCAGAATTCCTCCAAAACTCAGTGGGGGCCTTAGGAGCTCCAGCGTCTTGTAGCGGGAGCACACAATCTCCTGACAAGCGAAGGCTGCTGAAAGCACGGATTCTTGGCATGCACGGGACGCTCTCCCGCTCCTGCGCCTTCGGTGCTGAGAAATTTCCGTAGATGGCATGCGTGATCTGCGCATGTTTCAAGACTTGTCGAACAAAGGACGAACCGGAACGCTATTGGATCCCCGAATGACCCTTCCGCATCAATGCCAGATCTTGAGGTTGATTTCCACATCTTTTTTCCAATCGATTCCAACTTCAGCCGACAGACTGCAGAAGATCTCTGCAGTGTCAGCTGGTAAAGCTTTGGCCTCACTTGGGAAGATGACAACATGACTTTCTCGGACGACCGTTTCACTCGCAAACATCTGAGACTGGCGCATGCCCACGTTCGAAGCAGATCAAAAAGGCCTGACTGGACATGCGAGACATTCTCTCAAATGACACGGCAACAGCAAGGCCCCAGCATCTGTCGCAACTTCTCCGCCGCCTCCTACCTACAGCTGCAAGCGCGATCCGAATAGCCGCGATCCGAATTGCCGTCGGCACAGAAGTCCGTGCAGATTCATGCTACCGGCTCACAGCCATTGGATTCGGTCAGAATTCACATGCGCGAATACTAGAACCAAACCACTTTGACAACTTGTCGAAAGCAACGTTGCAACAGCATTGCGTGTTGACCCGCTCATGTCTTGGAACTTGGTGTTGATTTTGCGTCGTTCTTGCACGCCACTCTACCGGCCCATGGTTCTTCGAGTCCTCGTCTCGAAAAGCATCCGGAACGGTGCTCCAAAGGTTGGGCATCATTGCCAGACTGGACATCCCTGACTGTGCTTCGCGTCGCCAATTTCCTTTTGAAAACGCTTGAAAACATGTCCTTGCCTTCCACTCCCATTGTTTTAAGCTTTGGCCTCGCAACAAGACAAACTGACGTGTTGTTGACATCATGTTTTCAATTTGACAAAGGAAAGCTCCGCCGAGTTCTTCGAGTGAGTTCCTGTTTCACCGCTTTATTTTCGGTGAACTTCTATCCACAGTTGGAAAGTTGGACATGACTTCGCTCGCTCGCAAAACACGACCCTTCCTGAGTCCTAAGACTTAGATAAACGCGATCATGGCATTGCAACAGCCTTTGTTGCGATGGCAAGCAAGCAAATCGAACAATTGCAAACAAAAAGACTAAGCAAACTCATGCAAACTTCAGAAGATCAGAACGTCAGCAAATGTCACCATTCTTGCTGCGGTGATGTGATGTTGAGATCGCAAGTGCGACGTTGAGATTGCAAACGCAAAGCCAACCAATCTTGTCGTTCTTCATTTGCAATCGAAACATGTCAACGTTGACGTTGATGCTTCCAGCACACACTTGAAGGCGCCCCTAGCCGGGGCGAGGGGGTGCGAAGAACTCTTCTTCATTCAATGTTGTTCAATGTTGATCAGCAGCGTGCTTCTACTACTATCGCTGCTACTAGGACGACGACGATGACGACGACGATGACGACGACGGCGAGAACGCTTACTGTAGAAGCCAGAAAGTTGGAACATCATTATCCTCATGCCCTTAGAGTAAAGTATAAGGGATCCTAGCACTAATCCTCCTAAATCCATGTTCCAACTTTCTGGCTTCTACTGTACTACTACTATTACTTACGGCTACGACTTCGACTAGTAGTGACTAGTACTATTACGGCTACTACTACTACTACTACTACGACTACGACGACTACAAATTTACAGTGTGGTCTTCCCGCAAAATTCTTCAGTCGCGCAAAAGCTCCATAGAAATCACTGTCCATGGTTTCCGCCTTGTTTGGTTCGCGCAATGGCCACAAAAACGTCAACACTCCCGACATTCAGCAGGCAGGTTCCAGCGCATGCAACTGCAGGTCAAAAACTACCCGACGGCCCGTGTGCATGTGCAAGCACAAAGTGCGCAAGCTCCAGAAAAAAAGCGCACTCCAAGCGGCCTTTCATTAACTTCAAAACTCGAAAAAGAAAGGAATATTTTAAGTTTCGAAGTTTTTCCGTGCAATGAAACCTAAAACAAGTTCTACCATGTGCGTGCTTTTTCAAAATCTTTTTCTTTGCGTGGATAGGCCTCGTCGGCGGCGGGTGCCGCACCCGGTCCTACTACTACTACTACTACTACTACTACTACTACTACTACTACTACTACTACTACTACTACTACTACTACTACTACTACTACTACTACTAACTACTACTACTACTACTACTACTACTACTACTACTACTACTACTACTACTACTACTACTACTACTACTACTACTACTACTACTACTACTACTACTACTACTACTACTACTACTACTACTACTACTACTACTACTACTACTACTACTACTACTACTACTACTACTATTTTTCAATTGAACGCTGCGCGAGCGTGCTCTGCGCTTTGCGGGCGCCTTTGGTCTCTTGCACTCGTGAAAATGCTGCTAACATTCATCGCTCAATCCTTTCAATCTGCTCAGACTACTAAGTTACTAAGTTGCTACTTTGGCTTCCTCCTCCGACACCTTGTTGTGAACAGACGCGTCCATCTGTGCACCTGTCTCAGCAATTAGGCCGTACCTCAGGCGAAGCCGACACCTGGAGTATCCGTCTCGTGGCGTCCCACACGGATTACTCATGCTGTTGACAGAAGGCCGTAAGGATCACAAACGTGTACCTGCAGAGCCGAGTGAGTCCAGCTGTGAAGGCTGACTGTTCAGATCAGCTCAGTCAGAGTGCAAAATCCTGCATTTTTCCCTGGTGATCTTTCTGCTCTGCAGCTTCCGAAGGGATTTGCAGAAGCGTCGGAAGAGCTTCGAATTCCCAGAGGCTGTGCCATACGGGATTTGGGGAGTCTGTGACATTGCCCTAGGATCATTGGTTGTGACCGTAAGGCCACTGCTGTGAAGGCTGATGGTAGCCGTGCCAGCACCACTGTTGCCACCAGTCCCAGTCTTCCTCCTGGGAGGAGCGTGCCGGCCTGGCCCACTGACTCGAGGACGAAGATGAAGGGGCATCACGTTGGCGTTTGCCTTCTGTGTCAGCCTCTTGCACCTGCGGGCGCTTGTTGGGTGCAGCAGCTGCAGCCAATTTAGCCATGCGCCTGTCTTCCTCGTGCCCCTTGTCATGCTGAATCCGCATCTTCATGATGGAGTAGGCATCTTTGTTGGGTTTGACCCTGAACATACGAGCTGGGAGTCCAGCGGATTTTGCAGTTTCGTTGTAGACCGCCACCATGGTAGTTGCGATCATGTTGAACTCAATCCGCGTGGGAAAGTGCCGTTGGAACTCCTTCTCGTCCCACAGCTTATTGAAGCAAGCATGGATCAGGCCATGCACCTTTGTGGGAGCATCCAACTCCCGGTAGGCTTCTCCTGAGCCTGTGGCTATGGTAACTCGCCCGTCGCTGGTGAGGACTCGCCGCACAGACATGGCGATGTCCCATGTGAGGCCTGATTGAGTCTTGACCAACTTGATGGCAGAAAAAAGCGGAGGCACCTGGCGGAGAGCCTCCATTCGCGTGGACCAGAGGTTCTGCTGCTCTTGGTTGGTGAGACCTCCGAGAATTACTGGAGCCACCAGAATGTTGATGGAAGCCAATGCTCGAATCCAGTCCTGGTGGGACTGGGAGCTCAACAGTTGAGCCAGCTCCAGCCTCGTGTATTTAACAGCCGTTGGTGGAGCTGGTTGTGGGATATAGCCAACTGGTTCAGCATTTCGCTCCGGGGGTTCGTAGGCTGACGGGGGACGGGAAGAGGGAGGGGGCGTGAGGGAGCGTTGGGAGGCTTGTGCTGCTTGAGCAGGGGGAGGGGAGGCAGCCTTGGGGGGTTGTGGGGGGGCAGGGGAAGCAGGAATAGCTGGAGGGGGAGCCGGCGACGCGGACGAAGAGGAGCTAGCGGGAGGCTGGGGGCACGGGACGGGCACCACCCTTTAAGCCCCTTTAAAGCCCCCTTTAAGGGGGGGGGGCAAAGGGCCTTTAAGCCCCCCTTAAAGCCCCTTTAAAGCCCCCCTTTAAGCCCCCCTTTAAGCCCCCCTTTAAGCCCCCTTCAAGCCCCCCTTTAAGCCCCCCTTTAAGCCCCCCTTTAAGCCCCCCTTTAAGCCCCCTTTTAAGCCCCCCTTAAGCCCCCCTTTAAGCCCCCCTTTAAGCCCCCCTTAAGCCCCCCTTTGAAGCCCCCCTTTAAGCCTTCCGGAAGCCCCCGTAAGCTCCCCTTTAAGCCCCCCACGCAATCACACACACACACACACACAAAACAAGAAGAAGAAGAAGCCACACGAAATCGTTTTATGGGTGGTTTTTCCGAAGAAAATAAAATGAGAAAAGCAA